TTGTTAATAATAAAAGATAATAAACCGCTTTTTAATCAAATTCGCTATAGTGTATGTCACATAATATATTATTAAATGCACTATATGGTGAGATTTCTTTTTTGTGTATAGGTAGAAAACTGTTGGATTTTGTGTCTTTACTATAAAGAGAGCCACTGTGTAGTGTGACAAAACAACTTACCATAGCAAATTTAACAAAACTGCTTCAATTTTAATGATTAATTACGTTGTTAAAGACCAGAAAGTTGCAAAACAAATTTATTAGAGTTAAAAATTAATCTGCTTACCGTTGTTTCAATAACTAGCGTCGAATTAATTTACTAAATTATATAAGACGGATTCTGGAATAGAATTTCATTCCTCTGTCATAAACTGTTTACCTTTGTACCAGTAGCTCAACTACGTTCTAGTGCAAATCAAATACTGTTTTACTAATAAATAAAGTTTGTCGATTGGCTCATTCGACACAATCTTTCTCATAAACTCCTGTGAGCACTGGTGTGGCTATAGCCAAGGCTTTTTTATGCTCTAACTGTCTGCCTTAAGTTGATTGGCAAGAATATTGATGCAACTTGGTTAATAATTTTACAATATTGCCATTATAATTTCAAATAACCATTACTGCTTCTAAGCTCCAAATTATCAAGTTATCCAAGTTACATCGTACAGTTAAAACTGATTGCTTTGTGTTTTTGCTAGGTCAGACACAAAACAAGCACATTATTCTAAACCGTGCATCTTTCGTTCGTAAGCGTTTGTTGAAGCTTGACAGTACAATTTGAAAAAGTCTGTATACTGTATATTCAAAACGCGTAATATAAGACTACTATTTACATTTTTAACTGGTAAATGTAATGTAAATTAATTAGAATTAACAAAGGTTAAATTACAGCAGTTTTCAAAATATAAGTGCGTCTCGATATAACGACGCGACGCTACTATACGTATAACGACATCTCGTTATACCGACAGAAATCCTGAAACAAAAATGAAATTTATTCGATATAACGACTTTTTTTGGAAAATGCTTATTGTACACATCTAAATAAAGTATCGGGATATACCGACATTTAATATAACGACGGTCGTTATATGCAAATTTGAGTGACACACATCACCTTTTTTGTTTATTAACGTTCCATTTTTGTTCCATTTTCTATCTCGTTCGTTTAATTAAGAATAAGAACTAATCTGTGGCACAAAGCACAACGCCATCCGATGAAGACATCGTTGCAACAATCGCTGAAGATGAGAGTGACGTTGATGTAGATGAAGATTTTTCAAACACTGTTATTACTAGCGCATCGGAGGCTCTAAAATATGCAAAGGGATTAAAGGCTTATATTCAACAACAAAACGAAATTGAAGTAAGTTTATCCTTCTTAAATGAGTTAACTAAGTTAGAAAAAGACTTACCAGTGCAAGAAATAAGCTCAAAAAAACAAACGACGATTAATAGATTTTTTTAATCTTTGTAATGATGCTTAAGTTGTCAATTGTATCAAATTTATGCAATAAAATTGGTCTTTTTTTGCTATAATGATAATTGGTTGAACATTGCTTTGTTGTCGTTATAAAGTTAAGCTCTCGATATAAGGACATTCTTGATATAACGACCATTTGGGTTGGAACGAGCATGTCGTTATATCGAGATGCACTTGTAGTATAATTTCATTGTCAAAAAATCTTGAACACAAAAACAAAAACGGAAACCATTTTATCCAATAATCGCTGATCTAACCACTCAACAAGTTTTCTTGTATTGAGTAAAAAGATAAGTTGTATAAAGTAAATTGTTTGTTCTTCCAAAAGTCTTAGTATTGCTGGCTCGTAGAATATTTCCCGACGTTTTTACTTGTTTTCACATATTATGGTTGTTTTGCAAAAAATTTGTGACTAAAATTTGTGGTTAAATAGTCAAGTTGTCTTCTCATATTGTATTAGTCAAAGCTTGTTATAATAAAAAGTTGGGCATAATCAGTTATAGCACGATTTTTATTGTAACATGTATGATCTAATACAAATAGTGACAAGAAAAAAAAATTTTTTATTAACGCAATTTCATTGTAAATGAGATCCATTATAACGAGCTTTGACTGTAACATAATACCCAAAATACAGTATATATTAAAAGTAAAAAAACAAGAATTATGGCAAACAACGGATAAAATTGAGTTTAATTAACGATTAACTTTTCCGCAAATAGTGGGGTTTTTTTCTCATACACTATATAAGTCCAAACCGTACGAGTATTGACTACTTTATTCTACTATTGTTTTTTCAAATCGAAAATGTCTACGAGTACTGCTGATCACACAGTGACATATGGACAACATTACATATTTTATGTAACCCTAGAAAGTCGACATGATTTGAAATACTATCCTTTTATTCTTCCATCACTTGGTACAGTGCGCGAAAAAGTAACGAGACTAATGTTTTACTAATAATACGACAAAACCGGACTGAAAGTTACGAATTTTGTACGCATGCAGCCTACAATATGATAAACAAGTTAGTTATCTTATTGTCATGCTTCGCAATTGTTTTCTCGAAACTTTTTTTTTTGGCATACTACGGGCAAAGTTAACCAAAATTTCAATTTTAACCCCATTCTTTCTGAGTTATTCTTTACTACGACATTCGCATGTGAATTTAGTAGTACCACGAACTTTAATTTAATATTACTTGATACTTTCATCATAACCACAAATTACTAAATAGAGGTAAAATCAAACGTAAGCATTATTTTCTTCTGACCATCCGCATTGTCACGGATAATATTTTAGGTAATTTGGCTTTTATTTAATTTCTTTATTCCAACAAATACCATGTTCGGCATAACATTAGGAGCTTTGCTGACAATATTGTCTTTATCAGAAATGTAATTAATTTATTCGCGTATTGCCTCTTAAGATAATAGAATTTGCTTACCTGCTCTAAATAGTATTTTAAAATGATTAATAAAACCAATAGCATGAATTATGAATTTCTTGTTCACTTTTCGAAGAGCTTCCTTCGGGACACCTTAGCTTCCTGATGGCCTTTCAATGCGTGATGAGGTTTTTTTGCATAATAAAAAATTCTTAGAACTATCAAATTTGCTGACACGTATAGAAATTCGAATTACATTTACTATATCTAAAACATTTGGTTGCTTAAAAACGGTTGAGAAAATATATCTAAACTACAGCAAAGACTGGATATAGCGATACTCGCGTAACGGTATATATTTTTGGTAAACTATTATGTTACCGCTTAGAAAGAGATAGAAAATGTGATCTACGAAAAACGTTACCTACATTAGATATTTGGCTTTATTGAAAAAAAAAAATTCCATTTTAGTAGTAAAATTATTCAGTGCTAGCATTGATTTTTTTAACTAGTAATATAATATTCAGCACTTGTTTTCGTTAGGAGCGTACTGTTGCAGTATTTGCATCAGATAAACGAGAACTATCCAAGCTTTCTAACACGTTCTTTACGGAAATCGTTCTTTCCTCGCTATTATTATCTGTATATATTTAACAAACAACAATCGCTTTATCCTGATTTGTACGTTATTATCGAAACAAACAAATTCTACAGCAATTTGGTCACACGTTGTTTCTTTTGCACAAGCTAAAACGCTTTGTTGGATATCGGTTTATTTCACACAGGTTGTAATGTGAGATGAAAAAGTATACGGTATAGAGTATATTGCTTAATAGTTTGTGTATCATATACAAATCGTTATTGATGTACGTAATAACGAGATTTAATAACGATAATGAAGCCGGCGTAACCGCGTAATTAAATAATGTTTGTAAATGGGCAAAATCTAAATATCGTTATATTTAGTCATTGTTATACTGTAATCGATTCCACTGCGCAACAAAGCACATCTTTCTTTCAATTATTCGACATGTTGGTAGCCAATTAACACTCAAACATCAGTAGACGACGTTTTTGCACGCATTAAACTATCAATTACATTTTTATATTTCGCTTGCCAAACACTTATTCAAAAATAATGTTGTAAATATTACGAAGGCTGAATAAGTAGATATTGTTTATTTGCTGTACGGTTAATACGATCTTCGAATATTGCGACCTGCAAACTTTCTTCCGCAAAATTTAACCTACGCAAGATGCCTGGGTACCTGGAAGATCAACCACAGTTACGTTTAGATGCAGGAGTCTTAATATAGCACGGTAGTAAGTGCTATTTACGCAATAAAATAATACCCGGCCATGCCACACTTACAATATACGGTTATTGGCAATTGTAATGAATCTCTTCTAATACTAATTCGGGACAGCAATAATTAAATACTTTGCCATATATACAATATAACAAACTCTGATTAGCTGTGAAATTTTAACTTGATCCGATGACCAACAAAATCTTTAAATACTAATGATTTTACCCGTACCTAAAAATAAAGACTCTCCACCAAATGAGTACATTCCCTGTGTTTCATCACCAGATTGTAATTACTAATGATCGCTACTAATCGTAATATTGCTGATCGGTATTATTGCCAAGTATGGTATCAATTTCCTTCGGGTAATTCTTAATATGGACAACTATCCATGCGGGGATGCGGCGTTCACTAAAAATAGTACGTTAATTTTACCTTGTGCATATTAAACCGAGCTTTCTTGGTCAGGTGCGTCCAGTTATTCGTTGGTAAACAATGTCAAATTTACCTTATTTTTCTTGAACTGATTTACGTTCTAATATTTATTTTTCCTTTTTCTCACGGGTTAAATTTATTATCGTTTTGCGGTCCAATTATTTAATCGCAGTGGCTGAGCAAGAATTGTTAATAAATAGCGCATGTAGCAAAGACTTTGAACTCTCGTTCCATTTCGTCGAAAGCGGATTCCTATCTTCCATCTATCCCTTTCTCCTTACTCGCCTTACCCCTCCCTTAGCTGATAATCGGTAACCAAACGCCATATTACATTGCCATATTACATTCATTAAACGGCATGGCACGCTACACCCACTTTGCCCTTCTGCTTTTGTTGGTTACCATCCTATGCAGTTCTTGCTCCGTGTTTGCTGCTGTTGTTCCTACTCCTCCCTTATACAAGGTCAAAGTCCTAGAACCAAAGCCTAATGCAGTGATTCCAGTGGGTCAACAGATTCAGCTCAAGATCCAGGCTGACGCGCCGCAAGGTATGATTACATTATAATTAATTGTCATCGAGTTTACAGGGAAACCAATTCGGGTTTGCAACTTGCTTGACCAGCATCTTTTGTAAGACTAAAATCAACATTTTTTTTGGTCATTATTTGTAACAAGGTCCTCAAATTCTCGAAATGTTCTGCGAGCTTATTCGGACGTTTGACTTGCCAGGGAATCTACCCTCTCAGGAAATCGTATATGGAGTCATAACCAAGGATATTACCGAAGGGGGCACATTTACATATCAAGTTGTGTTAGACACAACCAAACCTAACACCGTGCCCTTAACTCTCGGCCCTTATACTCTTCGTAAGTAGCGATTTCGAGATTTGGATTTACTTTTGTGCCTTGCTGTACATAATAGTGAGAGCGTCTATTGAAATCATTAAACTAATACTCAATTAATTTGTCATCAAAAATAGGCATACATCAGCTTGTCAACTCTGGTAAGTATATTTATGTTGCCGTGTTGCAAATTGTGTGTATTCATTTTTAATTGCTTACTCATGATTCTTCCTTGTTTACAGGCACATCTGATAGCACTCGCTTCAATCTGCTCGATATTCCGATCACGATAGGATAACCGCACCGGCAGCATTGACCAATTTAATAATAGAGACTTACCCGGTATTTTTGCTTATAACATAAGATAATTACTGTCCGTAAATTAGTGGCTAGTGTTTACTTTACCGGAGTTATAGATGTTTCTAGTAATGCTGTTATACTTACCTCACGTGGGGGTTTTTTTGGATATGAGGTAGCAATTCTATTGGTTAATAAATTTAAAGTTTATAAAAAAACACGTTTATACAAGAAGCATGTCAAATATTTAACGACAAATAGAAATTGTAAAATATCTGAAACTTACACGTAATGTTACGCGTCACATTTTATTTTGACATTTATAAAATATTACACCGATACTATTGTTCTTGTTTACGGAAACAATCATAACAGTCGCGACGTCATATTCTCACGCCCCTTGCTGCGTAGCGAATAGCTAATGTGTGTTGTGTCATCTTCCGTCATCTAAACACGTAAGCACCGTCTCCTCATACACACATATATATACCATTTATCCCACTCTTCTCCTCCAAAAGTTTAACACACAATCCACAGTCATCACTCTATAGTACATACTCTGCAACCACCTCCGCTACACTTCTGCTGCACCTCTGCAACCACCTCTATCATGTCGGCTACCACTTCTGCAACAACCTCAGATACCACCTTTGCAACCACCTCTACTATGTCTGCAACCACCTCTACTACACCTCTACTACAGTCTACTACAGCTTTGCCACACCTCTGCTACACCTCTGCTACACCTCTGCTACACCTCTGCTACACCTCTGTCACCACCTCGGATACCATTTGCATTATTGTGTTTACTAGAAAATATTTCTCATCTGCTTTTGCAGGCTGATATAGAAAAAGTAAGCGGTTTGTGGAATAACAGACCGCAGTTATCATCATGCGATGACGATAATTATAATGATGATAAAAATAACTATGTCAATAGTTATCTATATATAATTTAAAAAAACTGGATGCTGCAAGGTGGACGGACATTGCATATTCGTGTTACAAAATTATCCAATAGATGACCATCAAATGTTCACTATTTCTTTATGGATACATTAGCGAAATAAAAGTATTAATGTAAAATATAAAATAACCACACACTGTCAACGAAGTGACGGGTTATACACTAGTAATGATAATAATAATACGGGAGGCAGACCCGATAATACCATGTCATCATCATCAACATCATCCTCGTCAACATCATCATCATCATCGTCATTATCGTCACCATCATCCTCGTTACCAATAACACTGACAACAACGACAAGGACAGCAACAATATCATTACAATGCAACTTTTGATAAAAGCAGGACTACTACAAAAGCTGAAGGCATCCCACCGACAAAAGTAGCACTTTGGAATGATGTTTTTGGTGACTTAGATCGATATCGCGAAACACTTGATCAACCGTCGTCGTCGCAGTAAAAGAAAGCGGACCTATGATTATGAATGTGTGACGACTAAACGTCGGCGACGACAAAAAAGCCTCCACCACCGCCGCCGTCATCATTACCACAACCGTCATCACCACTACCATTAGATAATTATGACAATGGCAGTGGTGATGACAATAATAATCAATGTACAGGGTGTCCTGTACATTGCCCATAGTAGTATTTTTTTATCCTGTATATATTTTATTAATAAACACATGTTAGGCGAAAGCATTCTGGCATACAACAATCTTTCAGAGCAGTCAGGGTATTTTTTTGAGAATTCTACATCCGCGATTCAGCCGCTGACTATGACAGACGTTATCGCCCCGACTGTTGGATTTGGCAACACTTTTGACGGGCTACAGACGGCACGGCCGGTAACGTACAATCTACTCGGTGGGAGGCTATCTGCATTAAAGATAAATTTGATAGGTCTCTCGAGGAACTAGGGTTTTTGCGAGAAGAAATAGAAAATGTCGAGATTTTCTGGAAGAAACATTTGCATGGATTAGACAAACCTTGTCTTCTTTGTCGAACAATTTTGACTCCATTACAAAACGGTTGTAGAGCATTATTGGCTGCTGAACATCAGCGAATGAACAAGAAGCTGAACGATTACGCTCTGAAATTTACTGTAAAAACTTATTGGTATCGACCATTACGACAAAGGTTTTTAGGCAAAAAAAAAAAAAAAAGAAACAAGCCGAGGAAAAAAATGAAAGGAGTCAACCAGGTTTATGATGGTTTAAGTAACCCGGAAAAGCGTCAGAATTATGACCGCTAAAGAACGAGTTTCTATATGTACGGCTTATTACAATCAGTAGCATTACGTCATACTGTTATAATAATAAACAATATGGTTGAGTTTGACAGCTGCAGATTCTCACACCCCTTACTGCATAGATAACAACATTATGGTAGATGAAAGAAAGTAAAGGTGAAAAGAAGTTTATTTGTTATGTTACATGATCGACCGGTATAAAAAGGAAAATTACATATATTTTATAATAGTATGACGAAATTTGTCCAACAAATTTCGACCGGAGGCGTTACAGACAATTTAATTAATGATGACCGGTATATAAAGGGAAATTTCATATGTGAAAATCCGTTCCTGAAAATTTTGCCCGTTATAGAAAAAACCGGTATAACCGGGGACGGTATAAAGAGTTTCACTAAGTATAATGACACGTAAAAAATGTTCTTTCCAATCAATAAATAAAACGAATACGAAAAAGTCCAGAGTTTCATTCACTGCTTTGCAGAAAAAAGAAATTTGTCAATTTAAAGTAAGAAATCCTCAATGTTCTCATAATCGAATTGCAGAAATCTTTGCTTGCGGAAGCAGT